AGTTGCTAGTACCTGGGAAATGCTTCATCCTGGAAGAATAGTTGGGCCTTGTTTTTAACTCTGACTCTTCCAGTTCTTCATATGCTCTGAGGAACAGGTGGTATATGACTTGGCCACAACTAAGGTATGAGTCCAGTAGAGCTCACGGAGGGCTAGGGAATTCCCTTGTAAACCAAGGCCATTTTCATCTTATTAACATTCCCATGTGTGCCATGCACCTTAGGATTATCTGGGTTCTGCATTTTCCCCAGGACCCTCTAGGCTTACTGCCTTTTTCTCTCACAGGCCATAGGTTCTCCTGTCCCAATGGCAGGGGCCTCAGACCCTCTTCTCCCCCTGCAAGAGTTACAGTGTCAGAGAAAAAAGCTTAGCAAAAGCATGTAGTCACAAGGACTAAAGATACCAGCAGAGAGAGCATAACACCTGGTCCATTGACCTAAAACTTGGTCAGTTTATGATGCAGCATTTTTATGTGATTTAATTCTGTAGTTAAATGTACAACCCAGGCCCCTAGAAGAGCAGAGAGAGAAATGGCGCCTCCACTCTGAAGATTCAGTCCACCACTTATACTCCTGGCCAGGCACAGTGTCTGTGTAACATAGGGCCCACCCGCCCTTCCTTCCTTCCTTCCTTCCTTCCTTCCTTCCTTCCTTCCTCCCTCCCTCCCTCCCTCCCTTCCTTCCTTCCTTCCTTTTTTTTTAAAGCAAATTCAACAAGCTGTGCCACAGGGCATATTTGCTGAACTATGGCTGAGGAACCCCCAACCAGAACCATGTGGCAGAACAACGTCAAGTTTCACTTGACATTGCTCTTATATTCTGGAAAGACCTAAGATCCTTTACAGGGGCTAAGACTTGGCTCTCTATCATTATCAAGGCTTTGTAGCACAGTACACGGGTTGTTGAAAGGCAACATGGAGAACATGCTTTATTGTGCTTGGCTTTCCAACCCCAGTCTAAAAAGCTATCTGGTGCTCTATTAGACCATCAGTGGGTCGGAGAGCTATGGCAACAGCCACTGCTAACTCCTTCCCAGCTGACCTAAAAATTTTCCTCTGAATGTGATTCCAAACCTTTCTCTGCCTCGTAATAACATTTTTATCTTTATTTTGGTCAGTGTATTCACTATATTGCTCCTTTTATCCCTGCACAGATGGTGTCAGTACCCTCAAGAATACAAAACCACAGTTAGATCATGTTGCTCATTCACATACCTTTTTGGGTTGGAATCCTAAGTTCACATTCTCACTTTGCATTATTTTCACCCTCTTGTTCCCAGACTGGTATCTTGATGGAGAAGGTGGACCAGTCATTCAAGTAATGGGTTTTCCAGAATGTTAGCAGGGTTACTAAAGTCCCTCCACAACAAGTTTGGATACAAATCCAGGCCTCCTACTTGCAGACATTTTGACAGACTGTAACCTAAGAAGGGTTACCTTGTGCCTGAAAGAGAAAATACCTCCAAAGAGGCCTACTGTTTTATATCCCAAATCAGGGGAAAGGTTTACCAGCCAATTTATAGCTATTCTCCAGCTCCAAAATACCAGCCACCACACTCCCAGGAAACTTAGAGCATGAAGCTCTGCTCTATATAATTGGCTGCTAACATAGTTCTCCACTGTCTGCTGGCCTAAGCCTCAATATTCTCTGGTATGGTCATTAATCCATTTCCCAGCCATTCTGAGAATGGATGTTTTTCCCACTTACCCTTTGTAGACACTTAATTCACTCTGTCTGCCTTAAGCCCCATGGCCCCTGTCATTCCTAAAGTGCTTTTGCTAACATCGATTTGAGTGCCATAGCACTCATTCAGTAGTTCATTGCACTTGCTTAACCTGTACTGTAAGTTTGGTGGGAACAAGGACTTTCTGCCTCACCATTTTATCTTCAAGTTTTAAAACCGTGCCTAGCATTCAGTGGGCACTCAGATATTTACTGAATAAGTAAATGTGGGCATGTAAATAGGAGCTGTGCCCTATCTGCCCTTAGCCTAGCCTGCTACCTGATTTTTGACCCCTTGTTTAACTAGACCTGTACTATTTCATCTCATCTACTCTACCTTCCCATGTCGCTTCTGGATGACATGATAGTTTTGCCCAAACATGATTTTTATTTACATGCTGGTTGCAAATGATTGGAGGTAGAATAATCATTGCTCTATTCCCTCATTTTACTGAAAGCCCACAGAGGTCAAATGAGTTGGTCAGGATTATAGAGCAAATCTGTATGCCTAATGATTGCCGCACTTGTCCCTTGGCAGATTTACATCTTTGGTTGGATGTGGCCAATAAATGTTATCCAGAAGTTTCTTTAAATTCTTGCTCATGTCCAGGTCTCTTAAGCATCTGGAGCCAGCCTAATAGCGTTTCCCAGCTCTTGGAGAGTGTCCTTGTGTTCCCACCCCACCACCACCACTTTATTCTTGGAATAAAGAATTTTAGATTGGGGAATATCAAGCTGATTTTGAAGTCCCAGCATTGTCGTATACGTAGCGTGAGAGATGAGCAGAGCCTTGGGACATGTGTCCATTTAAGGAGGGGAAGGGGTGAGAGGACTATAGCTTAAAGAGGTTAAAGTTTGGCACTCTGTCTTTTAAGTTGAGGTGGACGTGGGCAGTGGGGCAGGCCAAGAAGGATCCAGCAGGATAGGCAGAATGAAGATGCAAGAAAGAGGTAATGGAAAGTAGTTTCTGTATCAAGGCGGAAGGGCTTTGAGCTTGACGTACCCAACTTCAACAAAGAGTGAAGAAGAGAAATATGGAGACATATTAGTGAGAAGAAGAAAGTTGAGACAACTTGTGTCCGAGGAAGAAAGCAAGGCTCCTGCAAAAATGAGGTAGGCACAGAGGGACTTAGGGCATGAGGAGGTGGGAGGAATTTGAGGTAGGAAGTAACCATCCTAGGAGATGCGGGAATCTCCTGCAGATGAGTGCAGGGCTGGTGGAGCAGCAGTGATGGTCCTGCCAAGGTGGGATAGCATAAGCTGAGAGCAGGCTGCCAGGTTTGGTGACTTCCATTGTAGTATCAGTGGTTTGAGATCTGAAGCAGGAATGTGTGGTGGGAGGACAGTGAATTGGGGAGTCTCTCTATAAGTGAGCAAAGCATACAGATCAGGGAGCAAGGTCTGTGAGGTAAACAGACAGGAGCGGAGGGGCTAGATAGACAGTACAGGGTGATGTGCATAAAGGTAAGGGTAAGATTAAGTTTGGTCTGGGGAGAGGAGTAGATCAATATGTAAGTTTTCTTCTGTCACTTTGAAACCTGCAAATCACTATATAAAAATTAACCATTCCTACCCTATAGCTAAAGTGTGGCTCCATGTTCTTAATAGTTGATATTTTTCTCCCCATCACTATTAATTTCAACACTGTGTTTTAGCTTCCCAATTGGCTTGAACATGTGGAGATTTCCCACCCTCTCCTGTTCTGAAGTCAGCCTTCTAACTCTTTCATTTTAGTCTAGGTCAGTGAACCTCAGCCTTGGCTGCACACTGGACTCTACCTGAGGAGCTTTT